TATCGTCCTGGCCGATATGAGTTAAAACAGAAAATCTAAATCTCTCAAGTATGTGTGTTGGGTTACTTAGCATCAGTCTCTTTGACCATTACAAATTGACTCAAGAAGAGAAAAAACAAAGTACAGACTGACTCAACCCTAAACCTACACAATTTTGAACTAGCTCCGTTTGTTAGTCCGATCTTCGATTCTTGAAAATTTAGAAGCAACAAGCAATATAAGAGAATCAACAGTGTTTGTCAATCATCAAAACATGAGTCATGAAAATATATTTCCAACAATCTCCTCCTTTTTGATCATTGCAAACACAAGCAGGAAAAACTCAGAGAAGAAAAAAGCAGTGCACTAGAAATTCAAAGTCACAAGCACATACCATTTTTCTTACCACATTCTACTCCCCCTTCTGTCATCACAAAAAGAGAGTCCTAGACACACAAAAGAAATAGAAAACATCACAATAGATACTAAAACAAACTACAAGACAAACTACATAAAATAGAAAACAGACAACAGAAAATACAAACTAGAAAAATGAGGGACCCTGATCATCAGATGGAGGTGATGGAGGTGGCTGCTGAAAGTAGCTGGCAAGCATAGTAAACTGAGCATTGAACCAGGCGATGTCCTGGTTATTCTGCTGCTACTGTTGGGTGATGTAGCTGTCAAATCGGGCTAAATCCTCTGTGCGGTGATGCTAGTAGCGGGCAATGTCCTCAGAGTGTTGCTACTCCTGTGCAACAATGTAAGCGTCAAAGCAGGTCTCCCATCGATCAAACCTCTCTATCAACTGATCAACCGGTGAGTACTGGTGTAGAGGAATAGGATCAGGAACGGGAGCGGGAGCGGGAGCCTCCTCCTCCCCAGCCCCCCGAGGTTCCTCATCCCCAGGGTGGAGACAAGTACTGTGAAGGGTACTGAAGGAACTGTTTGAGTAGAAGGGAGTTAGGAGGTTAAGAGGAATAGGATACTGAAGTTGGTATTTAGTTTCAAGGACATAGGCTATGATGTGTCCTAAGGCTAGATTTGGTTTTCTCTTATGACCTAGATCGTGAATTGTGGTTAAGTGATCAATGTATCAAAAAATTAAGTTTGCAGTATTAAATTATCTACGAGCCATGATGTAGAAAGTAGTGAGGGAAAGTAGAGGGGTGATGTGGATGTCGTCCCCGACTTTTTTAATTATGGAGGTGCGAAGGACATGTTGGATTATCCTAGCATCTTTGACTAAAGAGCTAGTCTCTCCAACATGAAAAGGTGCATTGGTCTGTCGAAGGAAGTGATTCTCCATGGACCAGTCAAGGTCAGGATCTAAAG